CCCTACAAATTTAGGGAAAATTTTAAAAAGTGTATAAAATGTACCTACTTTATTTTTTTAGACTCATAGTTACAATGCAAATATCAGTTGCTCATTGTTATCCAAAAACTATTAGCATAGGTTTAGTTTGGAACTCAAACTCAGAAAGTTCAAGTTTACAACTTACCCATTCTTCGACAAATGAATCTATGGGTTATCTATAGTATACTAATAGAATGAAGGGGAAAATTAATGAACTTTCATGAAATAAATGATCAAGTAATGTTATTACCAGAAAGAACTGGTTGAACACTATTGAGGAGAATGGTGAAGGCTAAGAGAATGGAAAGGTTGTTTACTGCTTCTAGGACAGGTTTGCTGGATGAGAATATTAGGGCAAGTTCATTGTGGAAGATCATAATCAGCAACCAGAAGAAGAGACCAATCACTATAGATGTTATCACTGACACTATGGTTGCAAACTTGGCCCCTTTTCCGTTGCCTGCACCCAACTCATTTGCAACCCTTACTCTGCATCACAGGAGAAAAGATTACACACGAGTTTATTAATCAACTTAATTACAACCCTTACTACTCGTCCCGAACACGACATGTTTTAAAATAACACAACTTAAAAATGACACAACCCTGTTTGATATGACCCTTACTATACAAATGAAATCAACCAGCTAAACATAATTTATACAAAATAAGAATCCAATTCGATATGAACTGAGAAGTACATAACTGTATAAATGAGTTGACAAATTTTTAACACAGCATGACACATTCAACCCAATGAGCCCATAGAACAGCCAAACTGTCCCCAACGGGATCAAAGATACCAGTGTGTTACCCTTCACTCAGGTCTTCCAAAATAAGCCAAAAAATGCAAGAAGAAGCTACAAGGTGAAAGGCTTGCCTTCATTGTCTTTTGCATTTCAACTTTCTTCACGATCACTTTATGTTGCTGTCCACATTTGTTTGTTTGCATACAGTTTTTTGTGCTCAAACGATTACCATTCATGTCAATATCAAAGTCAAGACATGTTAATTTCCTAATAGTCCACAAACTAAAGGTGATAGAAAACGATATAACATGAGTATATACTACTAAGGGAGTCATTACCTGTTAATTACTCACCAAATTTTTGAAAATTTTTAAGCTAATTGAGAGGAGTGCAACATAAGTCTTTCTCTGCTGAGAGAGACGATGGACTGGTCTATCCACGATTCTAATATTGTTTATCATTAACTATCAAAGCCTTCAAATGTAGGTGTTACATAAATATTTTCTTCAAAGACATGATGATGTCCATCTCAAGATGGTAGGGCCAACCTCAAGGCAATATCCACCTCTGATTTCAACATTTTTGACCGTAATCAAGTTGAAGTTAAAAGGGCAAAAGCACATTAATATGGGCAAACAGTATATCCTCTTCATTACACTTCTATTTAATTTCAGTCAATTGTACATAATATACCAGAAATTCAAGTGGATCCTGTTATTTACGTTCTTATTTGTTTGACTCAATTGTAGGTTACCTACAGTATTTGAACGAGGAACCTACTTACAAATGNTTACGTTCTTATTTGTTTGACTCAATTGTAGGTTACCTACAGTATTTGAATGAGGAACCTACTTACAAATGAAAAAAAAGATATAATTATGTAAATGGTGTCAAGAATTGTTACCCAGTTCCAGCAAAGAAGGCAAGTGGTATCATCATCTCCCACCCATTGATATTCATGCTGCAACAAAGGGCAAATGACACATACCAACAAATGAACATACACTTCAAACCACAAAAGCGGAAATGGATTACAAAACAGCAATTCAAATGGTTTGTAATATCACATGGCAGTGAAATTTAACCTTTATTTATTAGTAAAAATGTCACTTTGTCCCTTGAATGATTTCAAAATTTTTACTCTATGCCTAAGAAAAATTGAAAATATCACATTACACTCTCAACTTCTGGAAGTCATAGTAATAAACAACAACAACTAGGTGGCTCATAGTTCTCCGTCGAATTTGGTACACAATTTGAAGGGCAAAGACACATTAAATCATACCCACTTGTGTGAATTGATGTAAAATTTGAGATCGTTAATTTATGACTTCTCATCTGTAATTAGTTAGGTCTCCAAATTAGTTTCAAAATTAAATATAAACAGCATTTGTCTCTGTATAATGATTGATTACCTACCTTTGACAATGGACAAACTGTAAAATGATAAAAGAATAAAACTACCAAACACAAATTGCAGAGAATAAACAAGTAAGATGTAGTGGACAAGTAGAAGACGAAATCATATAAGCTCAATATAATATAGAAAAATTCAGTCTATTTTTTTTTAGATATGCAGACATTTCATGCNAAAACTACCAAACACAAATTGCAGAGAATAAACAAGTAAGATGTAGTGGACAAGTAGAAGACGAAATCATATAAGCTCAACATAATATAGAAAAATTCAGTCTATTTTTTTTTAGATATGCAGACATTTCATGCTTAACAAATAATAATAAATCAAAAAGGATGATAATGATGGAGATTAATATTGCATACCATATGGACAAAGCATCCACCGCGATTTCTGCATTCTGCAAGTTTCCAGTCATCACTATCAAGATTCTGTAATACCAATTCTCCAAACTGTCTCAAACAAGAAAGAAAATAAACCTAATCAGGACATAAAAAAATGAATAATAATTCTGTACAAACATGATCATTTTCCACAAAATAATCATTCAAAGTATTGTCTTGTTTTAGAACTTCAACACCATTACTTTCAATCCCCTTTGGAATTATTCAATTTAATTTTTAATTTGGTAGAACTCAGTATTTTTTAAATTAGCATTGCCACTGGTCCACCATAATCGGCCCACTCACTAGGCGTGACAATTTTCGAAACAGTTTGAACCAAAAACGAAATTATTTTGTAAGGGTTGAGTAATTCTTTATAGAACTTTGAAAATAATACAACATGTTAATATAATAGTAAATGAGTTGGGTTAATATTAAATATAAATTATTTACTCTAGACACAACTTAAAGAGTTTTTTACNTGTTAATATAATAGTAAATGAGTTGGGTTAATATTAAATATAAATTATTTACTCTTGACACAACTTAAAGAGTTTTTTACTTCTCTTTATTGACGAGAAGCAATCCGAACACATTAGAATTTATGAACAAATGGAGTAAATATCAAATCATTTGATATGATTATTTAAAGTTTGAATTAAGATTAATTAAAATTCGACATGAATCATAATGACACATACGACTCAATCCAGAAAGAGAGAATGTCAACTCACAAACACGACTCGTGAGAGAAAGAGAGAGAGATACCAAAGCATGACTCCAGAAGAAGCAGAGAGTTTAACAAACTCCCATAGCCCAGAAAATGCTTCCATTGAGAAGCCAGCCCAAGTAAGAGGACACCCACCAAACACAGTGTAACAAAACAATGCAACCGCTATTATCCACCACGAGAAAGTTATAGTAAGAGCAGCTCCCACCAGTCCAAGCTCAAATCCATACACGAACAACCAGCTCACCACCACATGCACCACTAGCGCCCCCACCGACACCCATGCTATCACCGCCGTCTTCAGCTGGCTCTGCAAGAACCTCTGCAGAGGAAACTGAATAGCAAAGCAGAAGTGAAGAGGAATGAAGCATAAAGACACAAACCCAGATAGCTCCGCCATGTCCGTTGGCTGTCCCAATAGCTTTAGAATCGGAGTAGCAAATATGTAGAGTGGTAAAAGCAATATGCAGCAGAGGAAGAGAACTATCCATGAACGTTGAAGGTATACACCCAACATGTGGTACTGCTTGGCCCCATAAGCTTGCCCACATAGTGTTTCCAAGGCACTTGCCATTCCCAGCTGATTATAGGAAGAAAAAAACATTAAATAAGACCAATAGAAGACATTCTTTTTGGAAATCAAAGCAAAATAAATCTTTAATCTGATCAAGCAGATCATCCACGATGAAATTAGGGTATTCATAATTTTACATGATCTGATTCTAAAAAATTTTGCTATTCACTCTGCGTAGTTTTTAAAAACTTGTATTTTCTCTCATGTCATGCTTGTCCACCCAGCGTCTATTCTGTCTATATTACTTGAGCATTTATTATCCTATGCTTGGTGCTGATTGTAAACGAGCTGTACTTTTGGATATGCCTCTCTTCCGGTAATAGAATCATTTATTTACAGGAAGAAAGAGGATTAATTAAAAAAAAAAAGTGGAAGTATCATACCAAGAGGCCAAGGTTGAACCCCAAAACGATATTACTGGCAACGGACATGGCGGCGAGCTCGAGGTCACCGAGGTGGCCGGCGAAGGCTTGGGTGATGACTAACATGGAGTAGGTTGCGACACGGTTGAAGATGGCGGGGCCAACGACATGCCATAGCTTCTTCGATTCAATCCACACTTTCTGTGAAAGCTTCTTATCTAGATGATCATCTTCTTCGTGTTTTGATGTTGAAGATGAATCGTCTAACAAAGGTACTGCTGTACTTGGTTCCTCCACACTGCCGGCACTTTGCATTTTTTTTTTTTGACTGCTGTCTTGCCTCTTTCTTGGCAATCTAGTGGCGAGAGAGATAGAAAAAGAAGGAGAAGGAGGTTGGACCACGGAAGCTAGAAGACTCGGAGAACATCGTTGCATATTGAATTACACTAATGTCATTTATAAGGGTGTAACTCGGGATAAAATATTCTTATTAATATTTACACAACATCAGTATTGTGACGTGGTGTAAATGTTGATTGATAACTCTTCAAATAATCATAGTGAACCTCACTCATTCAAATAATTATCTCCTAAAATAATGGCTTGCTTGGTATGAGAAAAAATAGGATGGATGGAAAATGGNCGGATCATCTACGATGAAATTAGGGTATTCATAATTTTACATGATCTGATTCAAATTCCGGTAATAGAATCATTTATTTACAGGAAGAAAGAGGATTAATTAAAAAAAAAAAGTGGAAGTATCATACCAAGAGGCCAAGGTTGAACCCCAAAACGATATTACTGGCAACGGACATGGCGGCGAGCTCGAGGTCACCGAGGTGGCCGGCGAAGGCTTGGGTGATCACTAACATGGAGTAGGTTGCGACACGGTTGAAGATGGCGGGGCCAACGACATGCCATAGCTTCTTCGATTCAATCCACACTTTCTGTGAAAGCTTCTTATCTAGATGATCATCTTCTTCGTGTTTTGATGTTGAAGATGAATCGTCTAACAAAGGTACTGCTGTACTTGGTTCCTCCACACTGCCGGCACTTTGCATTTTTTTTTTTGGACTGCTGTCTTGCCTCTTTCTTGGCAATCTAGTGGCGAGAGAGATAGAAAGAGAAGGAGAAGGAGGTTGGACCACGGAAGCTAGAAGACTCGGAGAACATCGTTGCATATTGAATTACACTAATGTCATTTATAAGGGTGTAACTCGGGATAAAATATTCTTATTAATATTTACACAACATCAGTATTGTGACGTGGTGTAAATGTTGATTGATAACTCTTCAAANATTTACACAACATCAGTATTGTGACGTGGTGTAAATGTTGATTGATAACTCTTCAAATAATCATAGTGAACCTCACTCATTCAAATAATTATCTCCTAAAATAATGGCTTGCTTGGTATGAGAAAAAATAGGATGGATGGAAAATGGTGAATGAAAAGTAAGACGAAAAATGTAATTTTTCTTTGTTTGATTAAAAAGGAAATATGGAGGTTTACCCCTCCATTTTTGGGCGAAAAATGATAAAAATAGGTGGCAACAATAGGTGGTCATGGCCTTTCATTGGTACACTTGCTCTCTTGGAGATTTCAAATCATATGCCTACATATATTTTTTTGTCAAATAAGGAAGACTAGGTGAAGTGGACTATAACAACAAATGGGCAATTTTTTTTTTATTTTGCTTGGAATCACCTTAAGTCCCCTGGACAAGAGGTATCTTGGCACCATCTGCTGTGGTATGGACAATGCATACCCAGGATGAGCTTCATTCTTTGGTTAGTAATAAAGAAAAGGCTAAGCACTAAAAATAGAATGAAAAAATTTGTGCCGGATGTTGATGTGACATGTATCCTATACAGGCATNAGCCCAGAAAATGCTTCCATTGAGAAGCCAGCCCAAGTAAGAGGACACCCACCAAACACAGTGTAACAAAACAATGCAACCGCTATTATCCACCACGAGAAAGTTATAGTAAGAGCAGCTCCCACCAGTCCAAGCTCAAATCNCAGTGTAACAAAACAATGCAACCGTTATTATCCACCACGAGAAAGTTATAGTAAGAGCAGCTCCCACCAGTCCAAGCTCAAATCCATACACGAACAACCAGCTCACCACCACATGCACCACTAGCGCCCCCACCGACACCCATGCTATCACCGCCGTCTTCAGCTGGCTCTGCAAGAACCTCTGCAGAGGAAACTGAATAGCAAAGCAGAAGTGAAGAGGAATGAAGCATAAAGACACAAACCCAGATAGCTCCGCCATGTCCGTTGGCTGTCCCAATAGCTTTAGAATCGGAGTAGCAAATATGTAGAGTGGTAAAAGCAATATGCAGCAGAGGAAGAGAACTATCCATGAACGTTGAAGGTATACACCCAACATGTGGTACTGCTTGGCCCCATAAGCTTGCCCACATAGTGTTTCCAAGGCACTTGCCATTCCCAGCTGATTATAGGAAGAAAAAAACATTAAATAAGACCAATAGAAGACATTCTTTTTGGAAATCAAAGCAAAATAAATCTTTAATCTGATCAAGCAGATCATCCACGATGAAATTAGGGTATTCATAATTTTACATGATCTGATTCTAAAAAATTTTGCTATTCACTCTGCGTAGTTTTTAAAAACTTGTATTTTCTCTCATGTCATGCTTGTCCACCCAGCGTCTATTCTGTCTATATTACTTGAGCATTTATTATCCTATGCTTGGTGCTGATTGTAAACGAGCTGTACTTTTGGATATGCCTCTCTTCCGGTAATAGAATCATTTATTTACAGGAAGAAAGAGGATTAATTAAAAAAAAAAAGTGGAAGTATCATACCAAGAGGCCAAGGTTGAACCCCAAAACGATATTACTGGCAACGGACATGGCGGCGAGCTCGAGGTCACCGAGGTGGCCGGCGAAGGCTTGGGTGATGACTAACATGGAGTAGGTTGCGACACGGTTGAAGATGGCGGGGCCAACGACATGCCATAGCTTCTTCGATTCAATCCACACTTTCTGTGAAAGCTTCTTATCTAGATGATCATCTTCTTCGTGTTTTGATGTTGAAGATGAATCGTCTAACAAAGGTACTGCTGTACTTGGTTCCTCCACACTGCCGGCACTTTGCATTTTTTTTTTTTGACTGCTGTCTTGCCTCTTTCTTGGCAATCTAGTGGCGAGAGAGATAGAAAAAGAAGGAGAAGGAGGTTGGACCACGGAAGCTAGAAGACTCGGAGAACATCGTTGCATATTGAATTACACTAATGTCATTTATAAGGGTGTAACTCGGGATAAAATATTCTTATTAATATTTACACAACATCAGTATTGTGACGTGGTGTAAATGTTGATTGATAACTCTTCAAATAATCATAGTGAACCTCACTCATTCAAATAATTATCTCCTAAAATAATGGCTTGCTTGGTATGAGAAAAAATAGGATGGATGGAAAATGGTGAATGAAAAGTAAGACGAAAAATGTAATTTTTCTTTGTTTGATTAAAAAGGAAATATGGAGGGATACCCCTCCATTTTTGGGCGAAAAATGATAAAAATAGGTGGCAACAATAGGTGGTCATGGCCTTTCATTGGTACACTTGCTCTCTTGGAGATTTCAAATCATATGCCTACATATATTTTTTTGTCAAATAAGGAAGACTAGGTGAAGTGGACTATAACAACAAATGGGCAATTTTTTTTTTATTTTGCTTGGAATCACCTTAAGTCCCCTGGACAAGAGGTATCTTGGCACCATCTGCTGTGGTATGGACAATGCATACCCAGGATGAGCTTCATTCTTTGGTTAGTAATAAAGAAAAGGCTAAGCACTAAAAATAGAATGAAAAAATTTGTGCCGGATGTTGATGTGACATGTATCCTATACAGGCATGACATGGAATCTCATTCTCACCTATTTTTTAGATGCTAGTTCTCACAAGATATTTGGCTTTTTATAATGCAACTATGTAGTGAACAAGGCCTACCGAGCTCTTGGCAAAATTTCATAGCTTATGAAAGTCAAAGTTGGAAAGGTAAATCACTTGGCAAGATGTTAAANAAGAGAAGCAATCCGAACACATTAGAATTTATGAACAAATGGAGTAAATATCAAATCATTTGATATGATTATTTAAAGTTTGAATTAAGATTAATTAAAATTCGACATGAATCATAATGACACATGCGACTCAATCCAGAAAGAGAGAATGTCAACTCACAAACACGACTCGTGAGAGAAAGAGAGAGAGATACCAAAGCATGACTCCAGAAGAAGCAGAGAGTTTAACAAACTCCCATAGCCCAGAAAATGCTTCCATTGAGAAGCCAGCCCAAGTAAGAGGACACCCACCAAACACAGTGTAACAAAACAATGCAACCGCTATTATCCACCACGAGAAAGTTATAGTAAGAGCAGCTCCCACCAGTCCAAGCTCAAATCCATACACGAACAACCAGCTCACCACCACATGCACCACTAGCGCCCCCACCGACACCCATGCTATCACCGCCGTCTTCAGCTGGCTCTGCAAGAACCTCTGCAGAGGAAACTGAATAGCAAAGCAGAAGTGAAGAGGAATGAAGCATAAAGACACAAACCCAGATAGCTCCGCCATGTCCGTTGGCTGTCCCAATAGCTTTAGAATCGGAGTAGCAAATATGTAGAGTGGTAAAAGCAATATGCAGCAGAGGAAGAGAACTATCCATGAACGTTGAAGGTATACACCCAACATGTGGTACTGCTTGGCCCCGTAAGCTTGCCCACATAGTGTTTCCAAGGCACTTGCCATTCCCAGCTGATTATAGGAAGAAAAAAACATTAAATAAGACCAAAAGAAGACATTCTTTTTGGAAATCAAAGCAAAATAAATCTTTAATCTGATCAAGCGGATCATCTACGATGAAATTAGGGTATTCATAATTTTACATGATCTGATTCAAATTCCGGTAATAGAATCATTTATTTACAGGAAGAAAGAGGATTAATTAAAAAAAAAAAGTGGAAGTATCATACCAAGAGGCCAAGGTTGAACCCCAAAACGATATTACTGGCAACGGACATGGCGGCGAGCTCGAGGTCACCGAGGTGGCCGGCGAAGGCTTGGGTGATGACTAACATGGAGTAGGTTGCGACACGGTTGAAGATGGCGGGGCCAACGACATGCCATAGCTTCTTCGATTCAATCCACACTTTCTGTGAAAGCTTCTTATCTAGATGATCATCTTCTTCGTGTTTTGATGTTGAAGATGAATCGTCTAACAAAGGTACTGCTGTACTTGGTTCCTCCACACTGCCGGCACTTTGCATTTTTTTTTTTGGACTGCTGTCTTGCCTCTTTCTTGGCAATCTAGTGGCGAGAGAGATAGAAAGAGAAGGAGAAGGAGGTTGGACCACGGAAGCTAGAAGACTCGGAGAACATCGTTGCATATTGAATTACACTAATGTCATTTATAAGGGTGTAACTCGGGATAAAATATTCTTATTAATATTTACACAACATCAGTATTGTGACGTGGTGTAAATGTTGATTGATAACTCTTCAAATAATCATAGTGAACCTCACTCATTCAAATAATTATCTCCTAAAATAATGGCTTGCTTGGTATGAGAAAAAATAGGATGGATGGAAAATGGTGAATGAAAAGTAAGACGAAAAATGTAATTTTTCTTTGTTTGATTAAAAAGGAAATATGGAGGTTTACCCCTCCATTTTTGGGCGAAAAATGATAAAAATAGGTGGCAACAATAGGTGGTCATGGCCTTTCATTGGTACACTTGCTCTCTTGGAGATTTCAAATCATATGCCTACATATATTTTTTTGTCAAATAAGGAAGACTAGGTGAAGTGGACTATAACAACAAATGGGCAATTTTTTTTTTATTTTGCTTGGAATCACCTTAAGTCCCCTGGACAAGAGGTATCTTGGCACCATCTGCTGTGGTATGGACAATGCATACCCAGGATGAGCTTCATTCTTTGGTTAGTAATAAAGAAAAGGCTAAGCACTAAAAATAGAATGAAAAAATTTGTGCCGGATGTTGATGTGACATGTATCCTATACAGGCATGACATGGAATCTCATTCTCACCTATTTTTTAGATGCTAGTTCTCACAAGATATTTGGCTTTTTATAATGCAACTATGTAGTGAACAAGGCCTACCGAGCTCTTGGCAAAATTTCATAGCTTATGAAAGTCAAAGTTGGAAAGGTAAATCACTTGGCAAGATGTTAAAGAAATTGTGCTTGGCAACTACTGTGTACATAATATGGTGTACATAATATGGAAGGAAAGGAATAAAAGGCTCCATACAAACTAGTTTAGGGATTGTAGAAGTCTTGTGATGTGTCTTGCAAATCATCAAAGATAGATTAGTCACAATCAAATTCAAGAGTTCCCCCCAAAATTTGTCACTCCTCCAAGCTTGGCAGCGTCTATTAGTGGCTTAAGTTCAAATGTTAATGTGCAAGGGATGTCCTATGAATGAGGATGAGGCTGGTCAGACTAGGATGCTGATTCAAGAGCTAGGTGCATTCTTGGGGAAGTTTATTTGTCTGTGTTTTTGTGTTTGAAAGATCACCTTGTTTCTTTGCTTGGCATGTCTGAAGATGTGACCTCAGTGATGAGACTCACCAATGGGAACATCAAGGCCTTTATCCTGGATACTTCTGGAAGTGCTTTCTTTTTTTCACGGCTCCTTGAATGATACCTGCTTGCTCTGTTTTGAGGAGTTCAACCTACGAGCAAGAAAGGAACTACTGGCTACATCTTCCATTAGTTCTCCCATTCCTCAATGAAGCTGGAGGACGGTGAATGAGCAGAAAAGTAAGTTGGTATTGTGCTTTCCATTTGGCTGTAGGCAATGCCAGTGTATTTATTCTTCTGTTTTTGAACGTGCAGTTCCACGTTGATGGAAGCCTTTTTGCTTTCTTTATCTCCTATTAAGTTTGGGTCACATTACAATGTTAACGTGATTTAACTATTATAGTGGATATTTACTAGTAATTCGGATAGGTTGGTAGATGGAGTAATAAATTTGGATTTAATTTCAAATTTGAATTCTTGGATGCTAACATTGTTCAAGCTTAAATTCTTAAATTTAAATTACACTATTAAAATTTGGGTTCAATTGATATTAAAATCATGTCTGATTTTCTGGTTACAAAATTTGTACTGGAATTTAGATTGAATCTAAATTTAATTAATCATGAAATGCATATCTCGAGCCAGGCTTTATGATAAAATTAGATTTAATTTTTGTTACAATTCAAGTTAAACTCAAATTCGTTCATTTGAAATTGGCTGCCACGAACCCAATAACCAAACCGGATATTGTTTACATCCCTCTAACTGAAGGATGGGGTTATACTACAATTCACAAATTTTTTTAAATAGTAGAATGATCATAACATAAGATTAGAGATTGATTTAATGATAATTTTTAGTAAAGAGCAATGATTTTGACAAGTGGAGTCATGCCTTTCCACGTTTGTTGTAACTATGGTCGACCACATACATCTAAGAAGAACCTGCAATTTCTTGACCACTAGGAAGCTGGGAATTACACAATTTATATAATAAAATAGTTTATAATTTAAATCTTAAAAGATAAATAAAATAATTTTTACTATTCGCAGTTGAGATCATTTTAAATTTTATTTTAAAATTAATATAACGGTTAATATTAACACTCTAAATTTAATAGAAAAAATAAGGTTCTAAGGGTGTGTGTAGAGTGAATTTTTAAAAATACTTATAGTAATTATTTTTCATAAATATTATTTTAAAAAAAAAGTGTTAGAAACCGCCTCACCACTACCTCTACCACCACCACCACCCTCATCACCACCATCGCCACTACTATTATCGCCACCGCCACTATCACCATCACAACCATCGTTACCACCACCGTCGCCCCCTCCACCACCACCACTCCCCCCACCGTTGCCACCACCATTGTCACTATCGCCGCCACTGTCACCACCGCAGCCCTCACTGCCACCACCGCCACCATAATCATTGCCACTCACCACCACCATCATCGTCTTCTATCGCCACCATTGCCACCCACCACCTTTTACCCCTAGTGATGGCAGTGGACCGGAAAAAAATGGATATTCATCCAAACCCGTCTTGTTGGGACCAGGGATGGACTATACATATTAGACAGTAGACGTATACGGAGATATCCAGTATAAACGCATACAGGGATGAAGGCGGGGATGGACTTATCCTTACCTCCGCCCCTGTTATCCGTTATATATATATATATACTCTCAATCTCTAACTAAACATATTTACTGTAACTACTAATTTAGAAATATGGTAATCAAACTAAAAAGTGGCATTACTATGTGGTAATCTTATCAACTTTTTTTCTTGATTGTTCTTTTTTCTTTTTGTGTTCACAAATTAAAACTGTTAGGAGTTTAAATTGACCATGCTCTAAAAACAGATAAGAGAAAGTAAGATAGTTTTGTATTTCATTGTGGGTAGAAAATATTATGAATGGAGGTTGCTCAATTTCTCTGCTAGAGTGAACTAAGAAATATGGAGAATTATTGAATTAGTGAAATTTTAAGTTTTCATCTTTTAACACTTTATGGTTGTAATAACAAAAATTCTTCTTAGAAACTTCAAGTGTAGTGTTGTCGTTTTCTTAGTTCAATTTTATTTTTCGTTTCTTTCTTTCTCTTTAATAGTTCTGTTTGTCTTTTTGTAGTCCAATGACATTTTAAATAGAATATTATATTGTTTTGGCTTTTACATTTTACAATCTACATTATGTTGTGTTAGACTATGTTAGAATGTTGTTAGATCATTTAAAATATTAGATTTATTTAGAATTTTGTATTATGTTACTTGAACTTATGCTTAGGCAGGTACAGGGAAAGCGGGGACGGGAATGGGGATTAGAAATTTACCCGCAGACAGAGATGAGGATGAAAATTATACCGGTTAACGGGAGTGGACCGGGGATGGATGAAGTTTTTTTAAGCGAGTACGGGGATGAAAAATATACTCCCCACCCCCGCTTCGGTCCACTGACATCCCTACTTACCCCCAATATAGACTGATTTTTAAATTTTTTCTCTATATTTGTAATTTGATTTTGAATATGAATATAAATATTTTTATTATTTTTTATTTTTTATTACTCTATATCTTCAGACACAAATAATAACTAATAATTAGATATGACAAATGCTGCCACGTTACAGACCCTCTCATAGGACCTCATTCAATGGACCAATTGAGAAAACGACAAACATTTTTAATAATATTATTATTTACACTAACTGAATTTGTTAATTTATTTTATCACAATTGTTAAGTTAATATCATGTTTTAAAATTTCAAAAATTTACTGGTAATTCAATAATAGTAAGTGATTAAATTAATAAATTAAATTGAAGTAATAATGCTCGACTTTTACTCTATGTTACGTAATTTTCACTTCACTTCACTTCACCTGAATGATGAAGTGCCACAATAAATTCAACATGAACTTTGATGCTTCAAAAATTAGTCAACATTATTGACTGCATCTGCATGTTTTTCTCCTGGGAAATTATGTTCAAATTACGCGTGAATCAATGACGTAACACATCACTCAAAATAACCCCACAAATATCTTATTGAAAGAAAATGTTTTTTTGGATTATAATTTGCATGGTAATTATATTTGCTGACCACCTAATGCATCATAATTATTGATTGGGTATCAAATTCTAAATAAATAATATCANATTTGCTGACCACCTAATGCATCATAATTATTGATTGGGTATCAAATTCTAAATAATATTAAGATTCATTGTCAATTTAATGAAAATAATTTATTTGGTTAACAAAATAAATAAATTAATTAAATCAAAATAGTATTACGATTTATCGAGACCTATATTTTAATAGAGAAATTGATTTCATAACAACATCGTATTAATATAAAATGATATATGCAGATTGGGTTTCAAAGAATTTAGTAGAGTATTTTTGAACTTTGAACTCTAAAAATTTTTAATTTTTTTTATTTTGTACCTTCAAAGATTAAATTTGTATTATTACACCAACAAAGATTAAATTTGTATTATTACAATGTGACATTTATGTTAGTTTTTGCTAATTTTTTTTTATTAAAAGTCAAATCACTAACACTAACAAAAACATCAATAGAAAACTAATAAAAAGATCGTATTATAACACTTTTAATACATTAATAATATAATATAAAAAAATTTAATTGTTAAAGAGACAAAATAAAAAATTTAAAATCTTTCGGTGCAAAGTAAAATCCGCCCAACTTGTAATGATAACCAAAGCGATTCAATATCAGAGGAGGATGACAGATTGTCGGCTAAAAATAAAAAAGTAATTTGACCGGAGGCTATGGAAGGCAAGAAATGGACATTCAAA